GCTACAAACGGTGTCCAGTGCTTTCACAGCCCTCATCATCACTGTGGATGGAGTCTACATCAGGTTTAGAGGGACCTGGAACAGGACTGGGACTAGTGGGTGCTGCAGGACTCTCTTGCTCCGTGACACTTTCTTCAGGCGGGGTTGTTGCTTTGATGAAGAGGTTTTTGATGTCCTCGAGTGCGCCGGCCACCTCCTCACCGCGAGCCATTTGAAGTGCTGGCTCCACGACGCAAAGCAACACGCTTTTCCACCGCGTCCTCCGTCATGACGTACCACACTTCATGGGAGTGGTTACTGTCCACCTGCCTCTTGGTCTTGGAGAGGACTTGTTCTGACAGATGTTTTCCCGGCGGAGTGATGGGAAAGTGATGGTCAGAACCATCCATCAGATGACGGTACGTTTTATCAGTCAGTTCCTGTGCGTACTGCCTGACTGCTTCCCTCATGCTTGCCTGTGTGACATGTTTTCCGGCTTTATCTGACTGGATTAACATGTCGTACAAGTTATCAAGACCGGGTTTGATGCTGTCAAACTCGAGTCTTTTCTGGAGCCTTTTGGTGAGATGACCAGGTAGCTCGGTGAGTGTCTGAGCTGGACCGACCTGGGACTGCCCGGAACACTTCCAGGTAAACAGCATTCCTCGTCAGGTTCCTGAGACTGATGGGACTCCAGTTCCACATCCACGAGGAACTCTACATCTTCCCTCTTAAAGGCGCTTTTCAGGTCTGAAACCATTTTCTCAAACTGCCTTTTGGCAGCCTTGGAAAAGCGACTGCGTTGGTGAACCTCGTTGGCTCTTGACCTTATGAATGATCAGCTCCATTTTAAAATGAGGTCTTGGGGATTTTTCTGGGGATGCAGCTACACTTCCAAACTCACATGTATGCAGCTCACCGAGCATATTCTTCACAATATCAGCTGCAACACGTTCATAGTCAGGAGTGCTGGGACGGGTGGGGGAACAGCAGGAGCTTCTTCTGGGATGTCTCCTGCTTCTGGGACCATTTCTTCAGAATGTCCCTCACAGAGTTGGTCACTGCAGCAACAGAAATGCTGGATTTAATGCTTTCAGCACTTTCATTCGAGTCAACACGTTTTTGTTGTCGGCAGCAGCTCAGCTTCCCTGTGTATGTTTTAAGCACCATGTGACGAAGCGTGTTCATCTTGGACCCGGCGCCGCTGATGTAAATGGCGGGCTCTGGAGGCAGAACTGGACTGCTCCTGACCAGAAAAGCAGCAGAGTTCACCCTCCATGTGACCTCCTGCACCACCATGTGTGTCAGCCGTGTGGCGCTTTCACAGTCGGCCACCGGGACGTCCAGAGCCTCTGCCATGCTCCGACTGAGGGAGTCTCCCAGGGACATGAGAAATGGCCGCCTTTCCTCAATTCTGAAGTCCTCTGAATGTTAAAAACAAATTTCAGGATCTCTGCAGTGAGACCCTGAATCATGTCCGTGAGGACGTCGATCAGAGCAGCGACCGTGGAGGTGTCCAGCATGCTCCACTACACCCCAGAGAGCCCAGGTCCTCCGTGGAGACACTGAGGGTCTGTGTCTGCACCTCTGGCTGCTCCACGGCAGACATCTTCATCTTCATCTTCATCCCCCCGTTCACCTGCATGCAGCCCCGAGGGTTTCACACCACGACAACTCTGAAGTATTATTCTACAGGAGACATGTACATTTAGTGTGTGTGTGTGTGTGTGTGTGACAGTGTGAGTGAGAGTGTGTGTGTGTGTGTGTACATTTAGTGTGTGTGTGTGTACGTGTAAGTGTGTGAGTGTGAGTGTATGTGTGTATCTATGTGTGTATGTGTGTATGTGTAAGTGTGTGTGTGAGTGTGTGAGTGTGTGTGAGTGTGTGTGTGTGTCTGTTGAGTGTGAGTGTATGTGAGTGAGTGTGTGTAAGTGTGTGTGTGTGTACATTTAGTGTGTGTGAGTATGTGAGTGTATGTGAGTGAGTGTAAGTGTGTGTATGTGTGAATGTATGTGTGTATGTGTGTATGTGTAAGTGTGTGTGTGTGTTTCATAATAAACTCTGGCAGGTCAGGACTGGAATGGCACTCAGGTGAGTGGGCGTGTCCATGCAGCAGGTAGGTTTTGTCCCAACCTGCTCACCTGGTTGCAGCAGACCAGCAGCTCATACCTGCATCAGGAACCTGGAACGTTCTGTGTGACTCTGTCTGGATTTTCTTTGATCACTTCTGTTAAAACTGCGAACATGTCGTTGACGCTGTTCTACACCAGCGTGAGCTCGTCCGTGCAGGTACGCTGTCGTTGCTTTACCTGTAGCCAGGTGTTTGTGTGAATCTGGCTTCTGTCTGTCAAGCAGACGACAACAGAGGAAAGCTGTTGACTCAAAGAGCTGCTGGTGAGTTTAACGTCATGATAACTGCTCACTGACTGAATGTTGTTCTTCTCAGATTAAAAAAAGTCAGGAAAAGATCCAGTCGGTTCTGGACTCCAAGAAGATCCCCTTCAGGCTGGTGGACATCGCTCAGTGCTCTGAGGACAAGGAGCTCATGAGGAAGATCTGTGGAGACCCGACTGCTCTGCCTCCACAGCTGAGCAACGGAGACGTCTACTGTGGCGTAAGTGTCCTGCAGTAGACGTGTTCTGGCTTCAGCCCAGAGTCTGGACTGAAGCTGTCTTTGCCTGAGAACAAGTGCTGGGTGTCGAAGGTGTAGCAGCAATAAAACTAATATTTACAGAGCGTTACAGCCACCTCTGGTCTGTTCAGTCACACCGCTGCATGTCGACATGGGCACACCCTCACAGGGTTCACCTGGAAACACAGCGCCTCCACCACCACAGGTATGCTGCTGATCTGTATCTGTAGCTGCTGGTTCCTGAGTCAGACTGAAACGTTGCTCAGCTCCTTGAATGCTGCTTCGACTTTTATTAATAACCTGTGAAGACTCATGTCCTCATTAATCCTGAGCCTTTAAAAGGAATCTCCCCAGATGGAGTTTTTCCTTTTATTGTTTTAAACACTGACACTAATCTTCAGCTGGACTGAGGTCTGGACTCTGACCGGGCCTCCAGAACTTCACCTTGTTGTCTTTAAACCATCTCTGTGGAGCTTTGGCTGTTTGCTTCGGCTCATTGTCT